TTTGTTGCCTCTTGGTCTAGTGACTCTTTAAACTTTATGATAGTTTGTACCCAGAAGTTTATTTTATTGGAGATTAATATTACTACTCATGTTTTTTCCCAATTATCATTTGCTTGGTATATTTTCCCCATCCTTTGATTTTTAAAATTTATCTTCATTTCTCAGATGTGTCTCTTATAGACATGATGTCGATGAATTTTTGTTTTTTTATCCAATCTTATGCTGTTTTTCTCTTCATTGGTGTTTTTAAATCATTCACATTCAGTATCATTGAAAGGCAAGGATTTTTGCTGAAATTTTGTTGAATTCTTGTATGTGTTGTTGCTGATCACTTTAACCCACTTTTCTGTGATATCTCTATGGAAAGGACTTCCTTTGGTATTCTTGCAATATTCCTCTTGTTTTCACAAACAGCCTTAATGTCTGCTTTTCTGAGAATGTCTTGATCTTTCCATCACATTTATTAGACAGTTTTTCTGGGTAGAGTATTCTTGGATGACAATTGTTTTCTTTGAGTATTTGATATATTTCATTCCATTGTCTTCTTTCTCACATGATTTATACTTAAAAAGCATCATTTAATTTTATTTGATCTCCTTTATGTTTTATGCTTTATTTTTCTTTGACTGGTTTACAAATTTTCTCCTTGTCTTTGATTCTGGAAAATTTGACTGTGATATGCCTTGGCATTTTTAAGTTGGGGCCTTTTCTATTTGAAAAATATTCTCTCATGCTTCATGATATCTGGAAAATTTTCTTCTAGTAACTCTTCTGCAAGTTTTTTTTCAATGTTTTTTATTTTTTATTTTTCTTCTTCTTCTTCCTATTCTGGCACCTAATTGTGTAAATGCTATTCCTTTTGATGATGTCCTACATTATTCTTAATGTTTCTTTATTGTCCTTCCATTTTTATTCTGCCTTTTTACTCTAGCAGATCAGTGTTGAGAGCTTTATCTTCTGTTTCACTAATTATATGCTCCATCTCTTCAATTCTGCTCATCTGTCCCCACATCCACACCCAATGTTGATTATTTCTGAGTCAATGGTCTAAATATTCTGGACTAAATATTCTTGGTTTTCTAGATTTTCTAATGTCTCATTGGTTTTATTTGTTTTGTCTTATATAGTTGGTTTTTTAAAAAAATTATCTTTGGTTTTGCTAATAGATTCTTCAGATTCTTTGATTTTTTTTTAAAATTTTATTTCACCCATTGAATATTCTTGATCATTCTTTGAATTATATGTCAGGAAGTTCAAACAGACTTCTCACCTTCATGAAATCCATTGATTATGTGTTTTTATTACTTCTTTGGGGTGATACCTGTCTTTGGTTTTGTGTAGGATGTGAGCTGTCTGCTTCTTCTGTGTCATTGCTATAATGGAGTTTTTCTTGCCTGGGGCACTAGTAGGTACTAAATCTGGCAACCTTGAAATGAGTGCTCACTACTCCAGTGGAGGAACTCACTCTGCCTGAAGACTTTTCTGTTTCCTGGACTTATGAGAAGACTTGCCCCATTTGGGCAGTTCAATACCCTAGGGAAAGAAAAGGCAACTCACCCTGGCTGAATTCCTCTGTGATCCTGTAGCTGGCAGGAATGCTTTCCCTGATTGAGAAGCTCACTTGGAAGGCAATTTGCCCTACCTGAAGTCCTCTCTGGTACCATTGATGGAAAAGAACCCTGGCTGGACACCTAACCTTTCCAGGGGAGTGCAACTCACCTTTCCTGAAGTCCTCCCTGAAACTTCAGCTGGTGAAAAACTCATCTGGCTGGTAATCACACCTTCACAGGGAAGAAAAAGGAATTTGTCCTTCATGAAGTCCTCCCTGGTCCCACAGCAATTGGAGGGAAAGCTCACTTGGCTGGGGTGCTCACCTCTTCAGGCAAAGGGAAGGCAAATCACTTTGCCTGAGGTATTCTCTGATCCTGAGTTGGCTGGGATGAAAGCTAGGGCTTTCATCTTTCCAGGCAGTAAGTGCATTTATAGAATTTCTTTTTTATTAGTTCTGATTGTAATTTTTTTACAGACTTGATGGTTCCATTTAATTAAAATGAGAAATAAGAATGTTTCATTAGCTATTGTTAGCATCAATTCTTCTGATAATAATTCTGTGCACAATAAAACAAAATTTTGCTATCCCCCCAACCTCTGATGTGTTTAAGGCTATTGACCTGCACCAGTTCATTTTATTGAGAGTCTTCCTCATTTTTGCTTACTCTCTACTTTTCCAAGTATGATGATATCCTTATATAAAGACTGATTAGTCTTTATAGAAGCAGTAGGATACGTTGATAATTAAAATTTCCTTCACTTTGAATTTTTAAAAAAATCATGTGTGACATGTTCTTACTTGTTTATCTTTTTCCCTTATTTTCTTTATACATATAATTGTTGTTGTGTACCGTAGAGTAGGAACCGATCCATAGCTGACCATCAAGGAGGTTTTTAGAGCCACTTAATCTCATAGGAGGAGATTATCCATCCATCTCCCACAGAGCTGCTAGTGGCCTTGAACTCCATGCCTTCAGGATTGCTGTACTGCAAATGTGTGTGTGTGTGTGTGTGTGTGTTTAATTTGGTATTGATGTTAGCTACTGAGTAAACTACATACAACTCATAACCCTATGAACAAATGGCTCTGAACCTTGCTCTATTCTGTGCCATCACCTCTAATATTTTCAAGCCTAGATAACTTGTGGTTGCTGTAAAGCTGAGCACTATGACACTGATGTATTAAATGCTTTAATGGTTACCCATAGTGGACAGTGTTTGGCAGAGTTCCCCAATTAAAATAAGCTTGGAAGCAGAAGTGACATCCAATTCCATAATAGCTTTCCTCCAGAAACCCTACGAACCTGGAGAAAGGATGAAAAGTCACACAGGTGTTGAGGACTTTCATTCATAGGGTCACTATGAGTCGCCCTCGATTCGATGGCACTTAACAACAACAGCATTGTTAAAGTTACTGTGTTTATCCATCTTCTTGAGAGTCTTCTTCTCTTTGGCTGATTCTCCAACTTTCCAAGCTTAATAGCGCTTTCCAAGAACTGGGTACTCTTAACTGTAAACCCCAAATGAGTGAGATGAAATTTCACCATCTTTGCCTCTATGGAGTACCTTCTTCAAGGTATTTTTGTTTGCTTTTTTGGGCAACCCATGGTATAGTCAATGCTCTTCTCCAGCACCACAACTCCAAGACACTGATTCTTCTTTTGTTCTGTCATCCTTATTCATTGCCCAACTTTTGTATATTGAAAGTAACTAAAAAGCTAAAGGTCATGACTTGGAGAAAGTGCACTTGTCTTTAAGCTGACATTATTGCTTCTTAGCACCTTGGAGAGGTTCTTGACAGTAGATTATACCAATGCAAAATGTCTTTTGAACTCATGACTGCTGGTACCAAAGGTATTGACTGTGATTTCAAGCAAGGTAGACAGACAGATCCATCTCAATGTGAATCAAATAAATATAAATGTGTTTCCAATAACATTTTCTAATTAATCATTTTAACCTATATAATTCAGTGATATGAATTACAGTCCTAATGTTCAACAATATAGTTTGTGATCTTTGATGAGGTAATTTTATCACAAATTCAACTATGAGAAGATGATAAACAAGAAAAAGTATAATAAATCCTTGGTATGTCTTTATCCATGCTTACCTTATAATTTTCTAATTATACTATAATTTCCTTCTCTTTAGCTGCAAGGTAAGCATATTGAAAATTGACAACAGACTTCACTGTCCATCAAGACTAATTAAGTCTTAATTAGAATTAAACTGTCAACAATTTCATCTTTTTTGGAACTACAATTAACACCTTGAGAACCAGCTTGAATTGGGAAATCAGTAGATACATTGTACTGAGAAAGTTTTCAGTTAGGGACCTCTCCAAATTATTGAGGAATAGTGTCTGATTCAAGCCATGGTCTTTCCAATCACTTGCCATGCATCTGAGAGCTGGGAAGTTATGACAGATGACAGAAGAAGAGTTGACACCTTTGAGCTATAGTGTTGGAGAATACTGAACATTCCATGGACTGCCAAAAGAACAAACAAATATGTCTTGTAGAAAGTGAAGCAAGAGTGCTTTCCAGAGGCAAAGATGATGGGGACTACATTCACATACTTAGGGCTTATTGCTAGAAGGGGATATTCCTTGAAGAGGGCCATGATGCTTGGAAAGGTGGAGGGTCAGAGAAGGAGAGGTAGACCCTCAACCAGGTGGATTGACACAGTGACTGCTGCAATGGTCTCTAGTGAGTCAGGAGGTGTGAGAATGGCACAGGATAGGACAAAGTTCAGATTTGTTGTTCATAGGGTTGGTAAGGGTCAATAGCACTTAACAGCAACAACAACAAATATTTAAGAGTTTATCCTTCTAAAGACCTAGCTGAGAGTTATTCTTCTTGTCACTTATTTCTTTTAAAATTTTAACTGAAATAATCTCTTTTTCAAATGTGATATATAATTCTCTAAAGTTTGAAGGATTTTTTTAAGCATAAATTCAATATGTTCTTAGAATATGTTTTGTTTTGTTCTGTTGTTATATAAAGATTTTTATATGTTACAAGGTATGGTAAAAGGTAGAAGCATAGCTTATTAATAAAAATGAATATTTTAAACTCTGTGTTATTTATCATCTATGATCACACTTTGTTTACCTCATGCAAAATAAGTTTTCTCTTTGCTTCAATTAGAAGCCTAAAGCAATATTAATTTCCTCCAAAATGTCGACTTGTGAATTCTGAGAACTAGAACTGGCATTTCAGTTCCATCAAGCGTGCCAAATTGTATATGCTCATTAGTTTTTTGCATCTGGAATGTTTATATCCATGTGTGGGATAAACACAATTTATGAATTTGAAATGCCCCCAAGTATCAGATGGCTATTTTAAAGTTAACTAAGTAATTTTAAATACATTTACTTGATGAAGATATGTTGAGAAATAGTAATGAAGATTCTGATGTTTATTCTGTTCTTCTGACCATCACAGATTAAAGAACACCTTGCCAAGGGACAGAGGATGCTGGCAAGTGATGGGATGTCCCAGGTGACCAAGACTCTACTGGATTTAACTCAGAGGAAAAATTTCTATGCAGGTGATCTTCTAATGTCTGTGGAAATACTCAGAAATGTGACAGACACGTTTAAAAGGGCAAGTTACATCCCTGCATCTGATGGTGTCCAGGTAAGAGAAACAGTCAAATGGAAAAAAAAGATATCTACTAACTATAATCAGTTTTTGACCCTGAGAAATCAGTGCAGCCATCTCCAACAAGGAAGCCTTGATTAGTACTTGCTGTGGGAATGTCCAGTGTCTGCTTAGTGTAAACTCCGGAAATGATGTCAGTTCTCTTAGTCATTTCACAACTCTATGTCTTCAACCATGAAATGCAGATAATGCACCTCAGGAGATGGAGAATGAGTATATGGGACACATGAAGTGCTTTTAAGTCCTCAGATAAGAGGCGCTATGGCAAGTTCAAGGTAGCATCATAGATATTTTAGTCTCACATTTAATATTGCCATCTTGCCACAGGAGACCATTAAAAGTACATTAAGCATAATGAAAGCACATTAACTACAACATGCAAAGAAAATGTCATTTAAGGTTTGTTTGGGAATCTTACTATTAGAAGAGAGGAAAGCCTTATTTAATGTAGTGGAAAATTTGCCTGGAAATATAGAGGAAATAGAAAATTCTTCTGAATGCAAAAATAGGAAATTCAGTATCTCTTGATGACATGTTCTTCTTATCATTGAAGACTTTTAGAGCAACATCATTTCTTTCCAAAATCAAGTTTAAGCTCTCGTCCTGTATCAGTGTTGCCTTTGCTATTAAAGCAAAACTTGTTGAATGGAAAACAAGGTTTATTTAATACAAACCTAGTTTGCATTTAAGATTAACCCTTTTTGTGCTTTAGGCTAAAATATACTTCTCCCAAGGATGCTGGGTTCATCCAGCGTAATTCTCTTTTGTATTTCTGCATAATTTTCATTAACATAGAGGTTTGGCAAAAATCCTAGATTGTTTTCTCTTAGCTTACTCTTTATTTGAGAGTTTTATTTACACTTGAAAAATGAATATAAATGATTTTCTTATTTATTTAATTTTAAAATAGGGAGCCTAATGGAATAGCAGTTAATGTATTCCCCTGCTAACGAAAAGGTTGATGGTTCAATTCCACCAGCCACTCTAAAGTCAACTTGACATTAGTGATTTTGGATTTAAATTCTTATAATCAGCTATTTAAAAGGAAAAAAAATAGCATCATGGGATCATACACGGATACAACTAAACTGTTCACTTGTGGGTGGTTCTTGTATGCTATTGAATTGAACTCATAATGTCTCCACGTGACAAGTAGAACTTCCTCATAAGGTTTCTTGAACTGTCATTTTTATGAGATTAGATCATCAGATTTTCCTTCCACTCATAGGCTAATGAGTTTAGGCTTCACAATTTTCAATTTGGAGTCAAACATTGTGCTTGTGCTCCAGAGTGTCTTGACTCATAGGTACAAAGAATTATCCCTTGTCATCCAAGGGGATTGATTTTAGCAGTCTCTTAAATACTAGCTCCATGGATGTTCAAGTCGTGTGTGTGTGTGTGTGTGTGTGTGTGTGTGTGTGTGTGTGTGTGTGTGTGTTTGTGTATTCCCAAGATACAGTAAAGATACAATGATTGCATGTAATCTACATACAATTCAAAGAATCTCTAACAAGACAAACCCACTGCCAGGGAGTCAATTCTAACTCTTAGAACTCTCCACAGTGTTCCCAAGGCTGTCCATCTTTACCAGAGGAGGCTGCCATCATTCTCCCAAGGAACAGCTGGTAGATTCAAACTCCTGAATATCCAGTTAACAACAACACTTAAAGTACGATGCCACCATAGTTTATTTACAATATGCAATATTATATAAACAGTACTTTCCTTCCTCTTAGCCTTTGCGGGATTGATTTGACCATTTGATAGTTTTTCTTCCATGTGAAACATTTTTCATGAACAGTTATATGTAAGGATGTAGAACCCAAAGCTATGGGCAATTGTATATTCCTATTCACTAGTGAAAGTAACTGCTCCAAGAAATATTAGTGTTGATTGTGTATTATATCACACATATCCAAAGAATGCATATTTAATGCTCTTCCTCAGGAGGAAAATGAAAATATTGCCCTCACTTGAGTATTTTGAAGATGCTTGCTTTTTTCCTTTTGAAGAATGAAAAAAAATTACAGTATGAAGAATGAAATATTTAATAGAATAAATTTTATAACATAAAGAACAGATTTGACCTGCAGCCCTGAAATAATTCTTTTCATACCTTTTATATTACAAAAATAAAATTTCACATCTTTGACATAAAATTTTGTTTATTTATATATGTTGTTGTGTACTGTAGAGTTGGAATTGACCCATAGCTTACTCTTTGGTGGGTTTCCAAAAGCAGTTAATAGCACGGGAGGAGGTAGCTCATCTGTCTTCTGCAGAGCAGCTGGTGGCTTCAAATCATGTGCCTTTAGCGTTGCAGCACAGCTTTTTGCCACTAGGCCTCCAGATCTCCCAAATGTGTTTAAATGACTCTGTGTTAACTGTCATACACCAGGCAGACTGATGCACTAACTGATCTCCAAGACATCTCATTCTCCAAAGAAGTCTAAGTGCTGAATTCATCAAAGTAATAAAATCATGATGTCATGGGGTCATATCTTTAAACATATCATTAGAACACTTTGATTTAATGAACAATTAACCAATTGCTTAGTCTTAAACATACACTGGGTTAACTTCTGTTGAGAATTTTGTTTCATTGTGTTATTATAATTTGCTTAGTTAGAAATGGCACTTTCCTTTGCATATGATCTAACCAGTCTTCAACATGCCATACCCACAATTCTAAGGACATTCATGGACAATTCATCCTCTCACAGAGGAAGGTGTGCTTTGTCATTTCACTGCCATTGCTCGTATATTTTCTCAAACCTAGAATCCTCTCCTTTTCTGAATTCCTTCTTTCTCTGGCTGTTAACATTTTAGTCTAACTATAGAAAATCTTCCTGAGAGCTAGAGAATCAAGTCTTCAGTTTCACTTAAAAATGGTCTTTCTGAAATCCCAGAGACTAACTGTAACCTTCTCTTCATTTTCTTTGAACTGTAATCCTAAAAAAGCCCAGAGAGTGTGTCTAGAACTTTGAGTCTTTGAGAATTCTGTGGAATAATTCTATAGTACAAACATAGGGTCACAATGAGTAGGAATCTACACAATAGTAAGTAACAATAGCAACATAAATGTGAAGATTTCTGAATGAATGCCCTCTTTTATCATTTAAGAGCAAAAATTTACTATTGAGAGATGTTAGAAAACAGGAATTAGTATAACCTACGTATTTTTAAAAGTCAGGGTTATATACAAATTTTTCTTCTCTAATCAATGTGTTTGTTGTTGTTGTTGTGTACCCTCAGGTTGCCTGTGACTCATAGTAACACTATATACAATAGCTCTGAGCCAGTCTCACTGACTTCAACACACCTACCCCCATTGCCCCAGTTACAGTGTTTTCCTTTCCTGTACTATTCCTCCACATATCTGAGCATGATGGCCTTCTCCAAGGACCAGTCGGTCGCTCCTAGCCACATGCCCAAAGTATGTGAGATGAAGTTTCAAAATCCTAGCCGCCCAGGAGAAATTTTATTTCACCCTCTCTAAGACAGATATGTTTGGGGTTTTTGCAGTCCAGTTCTGTTCAAGACTTTTCTAGCACCACAACTCAAAGGCATCAATTCTTCTTCTGTCATCCTTAGTCATTGTCCAGCTATCTGATGCATAGCAAGTAATTGTGAAGACTGTTGCCTGGATCTGGCACACCTTAGTCTCTAGACTGACATCAGTGCTTCTCAGTACTCTGGAGAGATCCCTGACAGATTTTCCCAATGCAGTTTGTATTTGATTTACTGACTCTTAGTTCCAAGAGTATTGCTTGTGGAGCCAAGCAAGCTAAAGCTGTTAACAATCTTAATCTCTTCTCCACTTATCATGCTACTGCAAACTGGCCCAGTGGTAAAAATCTTTTTTCTTGATATTGAGCTTCAATTCATATTGACGACTATAGTCCTTGACTTCTTCAGCAAGTGCTTCAAGTCCCTCTTCAGTTTCAACAGGAAAGGTTGTATCATCTGCATAATGTAGGTTGTTGATGAGTCTTCGTCCAATCCTAATGCCTCATAAAACTCAGCCTCCAGATGATCTGTTCTGCATATATATTGGAAAGGTATGAAGACTGAAAGCATCCCATATGCACTCCTTTCCTGATTTTGAACCATGAAGTGTTTCCTTGCTCTGTTCTGACGACTGCTTCCTGGTCCAAATATAGGTTTCACATGAGCACAATCTAATGTTGTGAGATTCCCTTTCTTCTCAAGGTTAGCCACAATTTGTTGTGATCCACACAGCTAAATGATTTCATAGTCAATGAAACACAGATAGATATTCCTCCAGTACTCTTTGCTTTCTGCCAAGATCTATCTGACATTGGCAGTAATGACTCCAGTGCCACAACCTCTTCTACACCTAGCTTGTATTTCTAGTAGTTCTCTGTTAATGTACAGTTCCAGTTGTTTTTGGATAACCTTGAGGATTTTGCTTGCGTGTGATATTAGTGATATTGTCCGATAATTTCCACACTCTGTCAGATTACCTTTTTTTTTGGATAGGAATAAATATGCATCTCTTCCAGTCAGTTGGCCAGGTAGTTGTCCTCAGGATTTCTTGGCACAACTTGTTGAGCACATCCAGGGAAGCTTCTCTTTGTTGAAATATGTCCGTTGAAATGCCATAAATTCCTGGGTCCTTGGTTCTTGCCAGTTTCTTCAAAGCAGCTTGAATGTCCTCCATCATCATTGCCTCTTGATCATATGTTGTTTCATTAAATTCTTCTGTGTCAGCCAATTCTTTTGGTACAGTTACTAAGTGTATTCATTTCATCTTCTTTTTATACTTCCTGTATCATTTAATATTCTTGCCACTCAAGGTTTTTAATCTGTTTTTCAGTTCCTTCAGTTTAAGAAATGCTGCATCAGTTTGGCCCTTTTGATATTTTTTTCTGACTTCAGGCTCTTTGTCATACTAATTGCAAATTATTGAAGAATTTACCCATGATGTTGGCTTATGATGATGTGGTGGAGAG